CTATATTCTGAAGTTATGTTATTTGGTTTGTACATGTTAAAATTGTTGTATTTTCCTGTTTAATTGGATCATTAATCAATAGAAAGTGACCGATTTTAAAAATCGGCCTTAATGTCTTGTTTAACTAATGATATGGCTATACCATCTTCCTTTTGGTGCTTTCTTCATAATACAAGTTTTCTATCTCTTTCAACCTGTTTATCTTTTAGATATCTCTCTTGTTTCTGAGAGTCACTGTCTTTTACTTGCAGCATGTAGTGCATGCAAATTTAACGTGGTTACTGATATACTTAGATTTAAATCTGTGGTTTTTATTGTGTCTTTTTTACCCTTGCTCTGTTTTTTGGGGTTTTTTTCATTATTTTCTGTAATTTTCTTCTATTTTCCTCTATATATGAGCACCCTTTTGCCATTTTGTTGCTGTTGTTGTTGTTGTTATCCTAGAGTTTACAGCATGGCTTATTACCACAGTCTAATATTAATTGTTACTATTATCATCTTCCCAGTCAATTCAGTCAATTAATCTATGTTCCATGTCTCTTCTCTTTGACATCTTCTTTTTGCTCTTTGTGATGCCTTCTAAGTACTTTCTTTGGACTATCTTGCACAACCTTATTTCCTCTGATATTTAAAATCCAGTTTAATCCATGCATGGGGGTCTTAACTTTGTTGTTGTTGTTGTTTGTTTGTTTGCGGTTTGCGGGCCACTCACTGCTGTGGCCTCTCCCGTTGCGGAGCACAGGCTCCGGACGCGCAGGCTCAGCGGCCATGGCTCACGGGCCCAGCCGCTCCGCGGCATGTGGGATCTTCCCGGACCGGGGCACGAACCTGTGTCCCCTGCATCGGTAGGCGGACTCTCAACCACTGCGCCACCAGGGAAGCCCTGGGGGTCTTAACTTTAATCACTGCATATCTTTTTAAAGTTCTCCTTGCTGTGTTTTCAAATCTTCTTGGTCATTTTCATCATCTCTTCTTTGACTATATTTTTAAGCCTCTGTTTTATGACTTTTAAATTATTAAACATTATTATTTAACATATTGTGTTTGCTTTCCGTATTTGAAGTCTTTTGTTTGGGATTTTGCTGTTACTTCTGCTGGCTCTTACTCATGATGCTGTGTGTCCTTTTATATTTTGCAGTTTTAATTATGAACTCATATTCCTTGGATTTGTGTGTGTGTGAGGCATACTCAGATATCTGAGTTGATAGTGCATTTCCTTAGAGAGGATTATTGCTCGAGTCACTTTGGGGTGACTCAACCTGGGATCTCTTTTTTTAATTAAATTTTTTGCTGAGGCTTTTCAGAGTATACTGGTAGCATAAACTCAGATGATAAATCCTGGCACTAGCATCGTGACACACAAGAGAGTTCTTTGCATCCACTTATATATGGTGGATTTGTCCCTCCCTTCCTTTCTTCCTTTTTTTGTCTCTGTCTTTCTGTCTGTCTCTCAATTCATCCTTACCCTGAAAATGTAAGTTTTATGCAGTGTTCTTCTACTTGAATCTTCCTTTGTGGAGGCCCTAGGCTTTATCTTCTGCCCCCCGTGCAGGTAACAGATGCAGAAGTTCAAAATTTCAGTATTTGGCAGAAATTATTAGAGTGAAATTGACTTTGGAGGTTGGTAATCTCCAGAATTCTTGCAATATATTTTACACTCTGATGTTTTCTTATTTTTATGTCAGCCTAATGGCGGCTTTCTCTTTTTTTTCAAGGTATTAAAAATTATTTAGCTATTATTTAACTTTTTTTAAAGGCAGGTTTGCTATTTTTAGAAAAGGAGCCATAATGTATATTTCTTGATAAAAAGTAGTTCCATGCATTTTCCATAGTTTTTATTATCTTCAAAATGCTACCTGATATAATTAGCTTTTTTCATATTTATGTCACTTTTGTGCAATAACAAGAAAAATGAGGCCAGGTAACACTTACTGAATAATTACTATGTGCCAGATATTGTTTTTAAGGGGTTTACATTTATTAATTCATTGAATCCCCTCAGCATCTCTATAAAATAGAAAGTCATTATTCCCACTTTACAGATGGGAAAATTAAAGCACAGAGAAGTAGAGTACATTGCTTAAGCTCACCTAATGGAAAAGAGATGGGTTCATTGCTACCTACCTGTGGATTGGCATCCAGGATCTGACACTTACTATGTCGCTGCTTTAAATAGCAACAACAACAACAACGGAAACAAAAATAGGGCACACAGATTGGTATTTGTTTTTACTTGTTTATTTCAGTTTTAATTTATTGATTTTATATTTTTATTTATTTTGATTATGTGATATACATCCATTATAAAAGTAATCAAACAGAAAGCTTCCCGTTATTCTCGGTAGCTCCATCTTCCCTCTTTCTTTCCCTCTCCCCCCATCATATTGAGCTATCATTCACAGTTTGGAGTATATCCTCCAGAGGTTTTCTCAGTATGTGTGTGTGTGTATATATATACATACTTACATATTTCTGAAACTTAGTTTTTCACTGTGTCTAGCTTTGAGCCTCTGTGTTGAGGGCAGAGGTATTTGTGTGGGTGTTCTTTTCATATGCTCATTGTTTTTTAAAGCTGTATTGTATTGCAGAGTGTAAATCTATTTAGTTTTTCCTCTTTATTTAGATAAGTTTGGATATTTATTTTATTTAGATATTATCTTGCTGATGATACTGAAGCTATTTTCTTTTTTAACTACTGCAAACCATACTGCATCACACATTCATGTACTATCCCTGCGTCCTTGTGCAAAGATATTTGCAGGTTAAATTTCTTGCCCTGGCATAACAGGGGCAATTGTGGCATCCATAACATTTTCTCAAATATTGTGAGGTTGCCTACTAAAAAGTTTTACTACAAATTCTTCTATGGAAGAGAATAGTCAGGAATGGACCTACAAATATGTAGACATTTAAAATAACATAGAAAGCAGTATGATAAAGGAGTGGGGGAAATATTGATTATTCAAATTCTTGATGTCAAGTCACTTGACTAGGGGAAGTCTTTTACAAGAAATGCCAAATCTAAAAATCAACAGGGAAAAAAATTGATGAATTTGGTCATGTAAAATACATAATTTTTATCTTTAAAAAATTATAAACAAGACTTTTTAAAAAGACAAGAAAGCAACAAACTGGGAAAATGTTTGCAACAAATATGACAAAGGACTGATTTCTTTAGTATCCAAAGAGATTTTATTTGAGGAAAACATCAAGGGCGGTGGGGATAGACAAATAGTAACTTCTTTCCTTTTTTTTTTTTTTTTGAGTTTTTACAATGTCCTAGAAGCAGAGCTAACTTTTTTTTTTTTGGAAACAAAAAAAGAGAAAAATTTAATATGAAAACTAAGCTAACCATCTTTCACGTGTTACCAGAGCTATTGTAAATGCAAGTATCTGTTTAATACTAGCAAAACTCTATGCTATAGGTATTATTATTATTCCCATTCTTTAGAGAAGAAATTATTGTTCAGACTGACTGAAATACTTTCCTCTAGTCACTCAACTTTTAGAGGTAGAGCTTGAACTCAAACCCATGTCAGTTTGCTTATAAAATCAATTTTCTTAAGCACTTCCCTAAATAGTTGCCTCTGGCAAGGAAATAAGCTGGATATCACTAAGAAACACATTAAAATGACCAACAGTCATATTAAAATGCATTCACCTTTGCTTATAATTTAAAGAAGTGAGACATTAAATACACACACATGTGTACATAATATTGTATCTCTCCATAGGCAAAGATTTAAAATATTAATAACAATTTTTAACAAGAGTGAGGTATAACTGGATTGCTCTTATATTTTTAAATTTGTTATTTAAGTATAGTTAATTTACAGTGTTATGTATGTATGTGTGTGTGTGTGTGTGTGTGTGTGTGTGTGTGTGTGTTTATATATATTCTTTTTCAGATTCTTTTCCATTATAGGTTATTATAAGATACTGAGTATAGTTCCCTGTGTTATAGAGTAGGTCCTTGTTGTTGAACTATTTTATATATAGTAGTGTGTATATGTTAACACCAGGCTCCTAATTTCAGGCTTGATTTGCTCATCTGTAAAAGGGGGATAATCCTTACTTGTGAGCATTACAATCTAAATGTATAAAAAAAAATCTTAGGACAGTGGCACATATTAAATGCCCAATAACTATTATAAGCTGCTCTTCCCAAATCCCCTAACACCCACCCCACCAAAAAAACAGACAACAGAAATAAATCTTTCATCTTAGTAAAGATGAAGGCCCGGAAGAAGAAATGCCCCAGACACTCATGAGCTCTCATCAGGGCACTGGATTTACCGATCACTTTCTAGGATTGTGCAAGGATTTCCATAGTACATTCAGTTCTACATCCCGTATTCTAGATCTCAAGTCAAAGCAGGCAATAGATAGAACAAAAGGAGCCCAGGGCCTTGTGAAAATAATGTACGGCAACATTCCCTACATTGTCTATGGGTTGGTGGTGTAATGGTTTATAGCCAGATGCTCCCCAGCCCATTTCAGGGCATTATGAACCTTCTGGAGTCAGTGAGTCTGGAAATTCTAAATATGTTATTAGAAAAATGCAAAAGCACTGTACTAATATCCTCCCTTTTCTCAATATTTACTGGCAACCATGTGTTAATTGAGAGAGAAATATTGACTTTGAAGTGACCTAACTCACCTTTCGTTTTGAAGCTCTGCATGCACAGAGCCACATAACAGTATTGCAGTGTTTAATCACTTTTGAGAGCCAAAGTCTTCTCTTCAGTACTGTCGGTTCCAGGAAGGCAAAGTCACCAAGATTCTGACAAGCCGAATGGCAGTTGGTCTTGTGACTTTCTCCTCAAGAATCTTTTTCTGCTGCCCAATCAGTTTGGCAGACTTTTATCTTCAAGTTTTGAGAAAAAACATTTCCAATAGACCTTTTTCATGTGTATAAACTAAGAAGTAAACATGGCAAAATGAATCTACAGCTGTTCTTGAGCATCAGAGAAAATGACATGTATGTGGTTTGTCTACAGCACATTTAACTGGACGGTCCCATTCCTTTCCTTCCTGGCCTGTTTGATACTGGCAGTTGCCACCATCACTTTGTATTTCATTCCACTGCGGTACATCATTTTAATCTGGGGTAAGTTTGGCACGGTCCTTTTGCTAGCAATCAATTCCAGGTAAGAACCAATAACTCATTTTTAAAGTGTGGCTATAAACTTTAAATGTGCTCTTGTTGGCAATTAAACATGAGATTAAGAAAAGTATTTGGGGAACAAAAACTTCCAGGACCTCCCTGAAAAGGCCAGTTACATGAACGATTAGCATAGATATTTATAGGCCTCTTGCATAATTGCAATCAAATAAAAATGTGATTGTGCATGCTATTTCCCTTTGGGCTTTCAGAGTCATAAATACTCTTGAATAATATACTGCTGTGGCCCAGTAACTTTCAGGAAACACTGTTATTCAGAGTGAGCAAACACCTGCATCTTGCCCTTTATATTATGTAAAAGTAGATCTAGCCACTGCTAGCCTGCTTCTGACACTTTATCTCCCCTGGAAGGAAAAAAATAACCTAACCCAATACTTAAATCCAGAAGCAGTGAGGTGAAAGGGAGGGACCCTGAGTGACTACCTAACCAGTGCCTGAAAGGAAAGAAAAAGCTGTTATTTACCAGGGGAAATGGTGAGCCTATATAAAGTTTAGCTGCTTTTAAAATAAGTAGAAACAAAAACAGCAAACTGGAAATAAATTTCAGGACTTGACTTTCTACTCAAGCTAGCAATTGGAAAAATTACAAGCAACTTTGTGAAGATTTGTGTCTGTTGCTGGGTGGGTGCTGGGTTGATATAAGGAGAGTGCATTGCAGTTAATTAACTGGAGAAGCAATCAACACTTTTCTGGAAGAATCTATCAGTTCTGGTTTTCCATTGCTCAGCTCCTGTGACCACTGCTCAGTTCTTAACCATAGTTACTTCTAGGGATCTTCAGATGTTAAGAGGGGTTCAGAGAAGTTCCAAATGTAGGTGACTGTGTTGAGATGCATTCATCTGTGAGCAAAAGCTGAAAGCCTGCAAATGCCAGGGTGAGGGGGAGCTATAATATTTCTAAAACCATTAAATGTAGACCATTTCCAAAGAGAACCCAGGCAGAATCCTGATGATGAGGAAGGCCAAACCTAGACATTCAGAAATGGGAAAAGTCATGGGAAAAATGGAATAACTCATAACATTTCAGAAATAGAATGATTTTGAGAGAGCATAATCCATTCATAATCCATTCTGTATTTTATCCAGGAGGTGAAAATCCTATTACATAAAGTCTCTCTCCTTTGTAACAAGCCCTAGAAAAGGAAAAGATATTCTAACTCCCTCTTCAGGGGTCCATTTTAATACTTGATGACTCTTAACTCTTGGAGAAAGTCATCTCATATCCATGCTTAGTTTTTGTTTGTTTTTCTGTTGTGTTTTTCAGTTTCAGAACATTGGCCCATATTTGACCTTTAGGAAAGAGAGCGTGGAGCTTTTCAGGGGCCCATTGATTAAGAAGGAATACATATTTTATGAAAGCATTTCCCTGAATATTCATATACTGAATGTTATCTGTATAGATTGAATAATCTCATTCTTTCTTGTTTTTCGTTAAGTGTTAGTTTCTCAATCCACTTGCTGATCACATTTAAAACACAGATCTTAAAACTGTTGTCTGACCCTAACAAGAACTTGATCCAGAATTACAAGCATTTGGCCAGTGTTTTGCTCTTTTTAAAAAGTTGGTGTGAGTTGACGGTCAGCTTGTTAAACACTGTTGCACATGATTTCTTCATCCTTCTGGTATATACTTGATTTGCTTTTCTGCATCTCTCCCTCCAGAAAGAAGACTATACTATGTTTCTTCCTTAGATGGTCAGTATTGGGATTCCAATCCATCTTTCAGTTTACCCCACATCCCTTTGACTTCTCTTCTTATCCTCCAAGTTCTTGGCAGCTTTTCAACACCAACTTTTTGCATCTACTTAATGAGACATTGTTCTATTTATTGTTCCGCTTATGGATGACATTATGAAATAGCATGGAGTTTAAGATGCTCTCCTGGATGAAAATAACCCTTTGATCTTTATGTTCTGTGTCTCATTCTTTAGTTTTATGTTCTAGACAGAGGTTTATAGTTTATTGATGAGCTTACCATAGATAAGCCTTGACTTATCACATGATCTGTTGCCTCTTCTCATCATGTAAAACCTGCCATACCATCGTGGAATATATTCTGCCATTCTGTTAGGACTTATTCTTTTCCAAGACAAGTTAGTTATTAGCTAGCACAGATCCAGGACTTTCCTTTGCACATCTTTTACATGATCGTATTCTTGGCAGAGAATTTATCATGTAGAAGAAGACAACTTTATACGTCTTAAATTTCTAATTTTCCTTTTAACCTTATTAAGCATCAAAAGACTATTTCTTATCCTAAGTTACTTACTCATTTTCATTGAGTCCTGAAGTGGTGGATAAGATCCTTAAATTTTTGTGTACGATGTTTTTTAACCTTTTGGAGCAAAATTTTTAAACTCTGTGTTCTGTATTTCCCTATTCTTTACATCCAAATAGCATTTTTGTATAAGTATTTATTGAGTAGCACAATTATTTAACATAAGTCTGTGAAAGCAGCCTAATTTCATGATGGCTGTGGGGAATATTCCTTGACTCACCAACTTTATTGTAAGGTTTTAAACCGTGAGATACTTTCTTTCCTCTTTAACCGTATAATTCCTAGTGCAGCTACATATAGGTAGTAGATCTTTAGTGGGTACTTGGCAAATATTTTATGAGTGGATGATTCTGCAAGTTTAATACCTGTGATCTACATAGATGGCATTTTTTGAGCTCACCACCTCTCTTATTTGGGAGTGTAATTATGAAAATTAAGTTAGAAGTGGTTTAAGAGGGATGTCTGGAATTTTCTCTAGAAAACTGTATCTACTGAATTTCGGTCATTTGTTTGTTGTATGTGTTTCTAGAAGGCAAGGCACCTTTGAGGATTAGATCCCATGGAGGTTTTCTGTACCTTTTGAGAGGTTTCCATATTCCTTCCATTCTGTTCTTCATCATAGATGCTCTAATTATACTTTTTCAGTTCTGATCTCAGCCACTTCTGATTTCCCAGGTAGATTACAAACTCTCCAAGCCAGATTTTGAGCTGCTTGAAAGAAACTGTGACTTATTTAACTTTGTACCTCCATTTGATAGTGCAATATATATCACATGGAAGACACTTAGTGTTTGATACAGGAGCAAGCAAGGACCCTCTGCCCCATCTTGCCCATCCCCACCAGTATTTTGCAGTTAGGGCTACATGCCAGTCACTCATAAAATGTTCTAATTCAGTTTCAGGTGTCTATTCCCTAATGACCATATGTGCAAAGCAGCCATGCAATTTTTCCTCTCTCTTTCTCTGAGTGATTTATTTTTTTAACCAGAGGGCTTATTCCAATCCACTGATCTAGTCAATCTATCATCATTAAATTATAGTGTCTTTCCCAAATGTTAATCCCTTGGTATTTAAATCCCACTTTCTTTCTTTGGCTAAAAAAAAAAACATAAAAATTCACAGCAGATATGCTCTATCTGTATTGTTTAGGTTAAAAAATCTAAAGGTACGTCTAGCATGCTACTGGAGAAACCCACAACTTCCAAATTTGGTATGTAGTCACATACCTGCCAGTAATAAAGACTCTTCCATCACCGCCTGCTTTGTTTTCTTGGCTTATTGACATCTACAGTAATGATGGTAGCTCCCTTCGTTGTGGTGGAATTTCAGGTTATAGAATCCTCTTGCCTTTGTTGTCCAATGTGATTCTCCCTTCAACCCAAGGAACTATATAATATAGGTCTTTTTTATTCAAATTTTAATATAAGAAATTTAAGGCTCAGGGAGGTTAAGTTATTTGTCTGAAACTACAGCTAATAGTACATGGTGAGGCCAGAACTGGAACCCAGCTATTCTTGTTCCCAAACCCTTGTTCCTTGCCCAGTTGCCCTTTAAAGATGACCACGGGCTCTATGATCCCCTCTTGACACTTGGTTTTACACGGTAGATAATATGGTGGAATTACTGACATTTGAGCCTGTGACATATTAAAAAAACAAGGTGTGCTTTTGAAGCACGCAATCTGAGTTCCTGATAATTTTTCTTCTAACAAAGTTTTTCAAACATAGACTGTCAGAGTGCTTTGTGGACTTCTGCCCTTATTGGTGCATTTGAGCTACTGGGCAGGTTTATAATCTTCTCAGTGACTAAGAATGCAGTGTTTTGATCGGCTGTGATATTATCCCTGCCTGGATGTTCGTTGTAAAGGCTCCAGATGTGCACACTATATATAATTAACAATAGAAGATATATCTTTCCTCAATACGTCTTTGTCTCCATCATTTTGCCTTGTCTGTTTCCTTTTGCCAGAAAGCCCATGCTACAATTAAATGTCTTTACAATAACACAGTGGAGAGTATTTTAAAGGAACACTGGGGGAAATTTTAGCTAGAAACATGAAGCTGCCTGTGGAGGTAGAGGGAAGAAAGGCATAGAGTGGCTTTGACTTGAGAAAAAGTGGGCTGTTTGCAGGAAGTCTTCCCCAGCCCAGTCAACAAGCACCCTTGACTTATGAACATGGCCAGCTCCCATTTGCCAAGCAGATGTGAACCCGACCCTCTCTAAAGAAACTACCAGGAGTTTGGCATTGTGTCAGGTGTAATGGCATGCCAAAAGTCCAGTTCTTAGATGAAGGCAAAATAATATTTAATGAGAGAAGAAAAACATCAAACCTCTTCTCTGTTGTGGACTATTGAACAGGTAAATGTTACCTTGCCTTCAGAGTAAGAGCCAGTCAGGGTACCACCAATGTGAACATTCATTCAGCATCACAGAGATTGACGAGGACTTCAGATATGGTACTTAATAAACAAGCACTCTGTGGGCAAACTTCAGAAGGCCACCTTCTGCTTCTAAGACTCGGCACAAAGGGTTGGCATTTAGTGAAAAGACCACATTTATAAGCTCTGGCTACAGGCACACACACCTCCAAGAAGCTCCTAGGAGCAGAGTAGGAGACAAAAACTGGTGGAGGGGCGCCTCCCTCTGAAGAGGGAACCGTGGGCAGAGCTTGTCCTGGATGTGTCCTAAATCAGCACCGACTTCATGGCCTAGCCAAACCCTTGCACCAGTGCCACGGTCCATAAATTAAGCTAGCAACCACAGTAAGATAATTTTCCAATAATAACTTTTCACAGTTTCCTGCAGCATCAAAGTAAAATCAACATGTCAAGTTCTATTCTGCAGTGAGAGAAGAGAAACCTGTGAAAATGAGTTGGACGGGGGGCGGGAGATAGATTTCTTGTGGGTTCTTTTTAACAACAGAAAAACAACTCCCACCCTCCAACCTCCCACTGCTAGGTTTGGTCCAGAGCTCCCAAGCAGAGACTTGTTTGGGCTAGTAAAGGCCTTTTCCCATCTGGGACATTCATTTTCCTAGCAGAGGAGGCTGTTAATCAGTGTCGTCCAAAAAACCAGTGAGCTCCACAGTTTCAGTGTGTGTTTCTGCCGCCCTGCTGATGGGATTGTAATGGGATTTTCACAGCTGAAGAAGGCAAAGCCCCTCTCCAATGATCCCCCTTTCCTTCCTCCAAGAAAAGACATTTGTGAATGATTCCACATGACAGCAACGTGTGCATGACTTGAGGTCCAGTAATTGTTTTCACACTAATTTTTACTTGTGATTGCTTCCCCTCTCCCAGTCAGGTGAGTTTTTAAAGATAGATGGATGGATAGAGAGACATCAACAGACAGACAGAGATCTCCCGATATTTCTGTTTTTCAGGCATAAATAAATTTACTAAGAAGCTTCGAAATCCCTACGCCATCGACAACAATGAGCTACTAGACTTCCTCTCCAGAGTACCGTCTGATGTTCAAAAGGTATGTAATGAACGCTCACCCGCAACAGGGGCCCCGACCCCGAAGTCTGGCCTGCCCCAGAGCCAGAGGAGCACAGGGCTGTGCTTGTGTGAGTCATTGAGATAAAGAATCAGAAAATCCTTAAAGAGGACTGCCTTGCAAGGAGGTGGCAAGAAAACCTTTGTCCAGAAGCATGAGATGATTGGGGAAAATTATCCTGAAAAAGAGCTACTTAAGAATGATCTGGAACTCACACTGTGAGGCTGTAGTGCAGTGAGGTTTGTCCCTTTTCTGATCGTTTGCCTTCCCAAAGAGGATAAGATGGGCTCAGCGAGTAGGAGAGCGTGAGATCCAGAGCTGGGGGAGGCCTGCTTATTTTCTTCCTCTTCCGGATGGCAGGCATTCTATGGAAAGTAGGGGGCAAGAGGATTACTCTTTTGATTCTTCTTTGCCCTGGTTATCTCCTAGGCCACCCTCCTATCCCTTTCCCTTTGAAGACTTAAAGATGCTGAGGGCAAAGCCCCCCACTTACTCTAATACACATAGAGGCAGAGACAGCATGCAATAATTTGAGATCAGTCAGAAGTATTATTCACAGGTAATGGTCACTTAGTCCAGCAGTGTCCCTTTTCTTTGGATACACAGAGGTTAACCAAGGCAACAATACCGGAAAGTCCATAGAGCAGCCTAATTCAGGCCCTGGCAGATCAGGCTGCTATAAATCCAGAGGCGGGAGGACAGGCAAAGACCTCTCTAATGGAGAAGAGAAATCATAGAATAGGTAGATGGGGAGACCGTGGCATGAAATGCCATCATGACGATCAAAGACACAATCTTTTATTGTCTGAGAGAATCCCAAATTAAGTATCAATTTCTAGGCCACTGTACCATAATTCATTTCCCAGCAGCTCTGGGTGGATTGCAGAGACATAAGGCTGAAAGGCCCCGGAGAGTTTCTTTCCCCTTCATTCCAACTTCTAGAGATTAAAATAGACCTTGTGATGCTTTATCTTTTAACCTTCATTTAATGATATAATTATCTATTAAAATGCATTCTATAAATATGAATTTCCTTGTTAACATTGCATTGCATGATTGTAAAATAGTAACTTGGCCCCTGTTTGTTTGGCCCTGGAGATTGGCAGGCGTGTCATCCCCTAGGGGACCTTCACAAGACACTCTAAAGAAAGCATGGTTTTTTCACATATCTGCTTTCCACCAAGTGTAGCTCAGTTTATGTGATGGGGTAGGATGTCCTTGGGGAGTTTGGCACAAATACTCAAAATAGTGAGCACATGTGGTCTGTAATACAATACTTTAAATAAAGCCATTCCGCCATCAGCCTATCAAAGCCCCCACACCAAAGCAGTACAACTGCAACATACCATCACTTGAGTCACAATGTGAGTTTGTGCCTGCATCCTTGAAGAATGGAAATTCCCATCAAGCCCCCGCTAAGGATTATCTGTGCACAGTTTGAGCACCAGCCCTGAGCGAGGTCATCCAGTTGGAGTTGGCATGAATACAGAGGGATACAACAAAAGAGCATTTGAGGAAGATGTACAGTAAGCTAGTAAGATCTCTGTGTATCTCCAAGAGCACTTGCTAATAACACAGTACACAGTTTGCCACTTGGGACTCCCCACGTGCTCATATTTGTCACAGATGTTTTAGCCATTACACTGTAAATGAAATTCATTTATAAGAGAAATCTTTATTAGTCTGGGGCCAGCATTAATTTCAACATTTCTCCCCCCTCTGGCAAAAGAAATGTATGTAATTGGCAGAGATTTTTTACCCCAAGATTTTAGATATTTCTAAATGAATAATTCTTAGTAAGTTGCTGTATCATATACTAAGATAAACATTCCCAAGAGGCTGTTATTAAGCTCTTTTCTGGTTGAACACGGGCATACACAGAACTAAAACCATCCAGCAGTGCAGAGAGCAGGTAGAAACCCAGAAACCCATGCATCTCATTAGAAAAATCTGCTTTTAATATTTTGGTTTCAAGAAATGATGCATGACTCTTCAAATCCTTCCTGCAATTAATCCCTCCATGTTCCTGTGTTTAGAAAATGATTCATTACCTTTGAACCTTCCTTCCTTTGCCTTGGTGTGTCCTCGGGGAGCCATTAGCACACTGTGGTGAGCTAGGGTTACCTAACTGCCAGCGTCACATCTGTCTGTTTTCACAGGTGCAGTATGCAGAGTTGAAGCCCGGCAGCAGCCAGAGCCCCCTTCGGAAGAAGCGCAGCGCACTCTAGGACACACACCGACTTTGGACGCCAGCACCCGATTCCGTGTTGGGTCGATTAGACCAATATTCTCTCTCGTTCAGTGGTATCCGTGGTGTCAGTCTGAAATGCGTGCTGTGTGGAGCCCTGTCTGTATCCTCCCCCTTCTTCGTGGCACAGATGCACGCACATGTGTGTGCATCCATGTGCAGGAGTGTCCTGGTTGCATCTTGAGTCAGCCCAGCAAAAGGGAACAACCCAGAGATGGTAAAAGACTAACATCCCTTCTCAAGTAGGAGATAAAGCAAGGCTTCCATGGGTCTGAGCACCCTCCTTGAGAACAGCCAGGAGGCCACTTGGATTGAGCATGACTTTGAACTCGTTTCCACACATCCGACAGATTCTCATTAAGATTCAGTTATTTTCACTCCCCACCCCTACACTCCTTTCGGATGATTGTTCATGAGTCCTTTTTTTTCTCTGAGTTAACAAGTCCTTGATAGATAGTCACCGTCCACCCAAATAATATATATTATAAATAGAATGTTTTAAATAATTACCAGGATTAGCCCCATTCTTTAGGGACCTTTCAGCTGTAATTACCAAAGACCTATATGTAAAATTTCAGTAAGCTGCTTGGTGCTGGATGCCAGCCTGCATCATGGTCCGTTGCTGGCAATGGATGTCCCAGGAAGGCCCCAAGGGATCATTCACCCAAAACCTGAAGGTTTCCTGAAAGTATGTGGTTGCCTCAAATAGCCATTTCTTCTGACTTGACTTTTTGCTTATCTCCCAAGTAAAATCTCAATATTATAGCTGGAGGAAGAGGGGGAGGGGAATGAATGAATGAATTCTGAGAAGTGTTTTGAAAGATAAAGGCTGAGCAGCAAGGGACCAATGCATGTGGCTGCTTATCTGATTGTCATACTCCCTTCATTTGCCTGCGTTTTTAAGAAAGTGAAAATGCTGTAGCAATCCAAATGGATCTTTTGTTCCTGAGCAAAATAGGCTACACATAATAAAAATATATCTCAGAACCCCATTCCTAAAAAAGTACCACCCCAAAGTCTTTTTGAGTATATCAGTCTTCACCGTTTCACCGTAACCCCCTCCAAGTAAAAATCCCAATTTTTATGCATATATAAAATGTATACGAATACCTTTCTGTTCAAATAATATTTAAGTTGTAAAGACTGTATTTTGTTGACATGTACTTTGTATGTGCAGATTTATATATATATATATATATATATATATATATATATAATATATATATATTATATATGTATTGTAAAGAAAACTTGAGGTAAAAAGATCTAATAGTGAGTTTTACTGTTTTGTTTTTTTTTTCCCTCTCTCTCTCTCTCTCTCTCTGGGTTGTAATTTAATAATCTTCAAACAAAATGTTTATGAAAAATGCCAAAGATTCTAAACCTTATCACCCTGTGTCTGTTTTTCTTCATATTCTATCTTCCTGGGTTGCTTTCTGGCTGAGCCAGATTTCTGCATGATTTGATTTACTTCAAGTTAATGAAGCTGGCTGAAAAAGAACCTTGCAGAAATTATAGAAGCTCCAGTAAATCTCTGAGTTGTACATACAATAGATACCCAAGAACCTCTTTTGTTAAACCAGTTAATCTTCTGTGTAAACAATGCCTCATTGTCTCACTCCCAGCTACCATCTAGTTTATCATAGTCTGTCATTTTGTAAGGACCTAAGTCAGACATTTTTAAACAGACACGTGAGATCTGATCAGTCATTTGAATGAAAACTTTCAGCAGCAAAATAACCCCTTATTTATTTAAAAGTGGAACCAATACTTTATTGTTATTCTCTTGCAATAGAATTTCAAAATGAAATAATTCGCCTGAAAATAAGGCATCATTAGTTAGACTTATCTCTTCTGTAGTCCGACTGGAATTTTCAGCATTAAGTTTAGGACACAAACAGTAGCTGGGATGCAAGAGCAAGGACAGAATGAACCTTTAATAAACTGTATGGAAAACAATTGTTAATTGATTAAGTAGGCATGGGTTGTTAAAAATGAATGCTATCTGCAAGTAAAATGTTAAGATTCATAAAAGTAGTCAAACTCGTATGAAAGGTTCGGCGATGCTTTAGATAAAATTTATGGATTATGGTTTTCACAGTGTGATAGTTCAAGATAATTTAGTAGGAATGTTGAAGTCTGGCCAAGCTCTCGTGGTTCTTCCAGTCCTGCTTGGTGTCTTACAGGCATCTCTTCCTCAGCAGTTCGGAAATTCAGCATTATCTTTCCCTCCATGTGTTCAGGACCCCTAACCCCACAGTCTCCTTCTAGCTTTGTTATTCCCTTTATTGGCACAGGCATCTTAGGGGCTGGGAGGACCTTGGCAGCCCTTTTTTCATTCCTCGTGCTTTTATCACCATCTCCCAACCCATAAAACCTGGTAGATCAGTGTTGACACATTATTTTGTCCGTGTATGTTTTGTACATTTCCATTCGCGGCCACCCAAGCCACCGCCCACGCTGAGGCCTCTGTAACCTCTCACAAGTCAAGGTAATGGTGCCAATTACATTATGCCAGGTCAATATTCATTCAGATTATTCTTTTCCCTGTAAATACTTTCTCCCCAGTTTCTATCCAAATTAATTCTAACCTCCTTCAGAGCTTTCAGAAGTCTCCTGCCCACATTGGTTTTCTTAGTTCCTTGGTTGGGTTAGAGTCCACCTTGCTCTTTTGCACCCCGACATCTTAGATATCTTTCTGGCATCTGCCGTATTCTGCCATCGCTCATAATTACCAGAGGCCTTGACTCCCACTTCCCTCCACTGGATAGCCCATCCTATCTGGCATCTAATAGTCACTCAGAAAACATATGATTAACTGACCAGGTCATAGAAAACATTTCTTTCTTTGCCCTTTCACGTGTGATTCTCAGAACAGAGGCCTGAGCTGGATAAATTAGTGTGCTCAATCCCAGGAAATAATTTCTTGCATTAAGTGTACACCTCTTGCATTAAGTGCTCAATCCCAGGAAATAATTTCTTGCATTAAGTGCACACCTCTTGCATTAAGTGCACACATTAAGTGATATTACTTATAAGCTCTGGCCATGTTGATTATAAACTTTTAAACTAAACAGTGTCATATTTGGAGAAGTCCTTACCTACATGTCAAAGGAAAATATAACGTTTATTTGTAGGTGGTAAAACAATTTTTGATTCTTTTTCTTATTATGTATCACTGAACAAACATATATTGAACGTTGATGATATACTTGAACAAAACAGAGTACATTCCCTTGGTAGAGCCAGACATTAAGCAGATATTTTCAAGTAATGGCATGACATTCTCAGACTTGGCTTTTAAAGAGATCATTCTGACTGCAGTGGGTACACAAGCAATTATGAATGACCAGAGAAGAGCCAGTTGTAGAGCTCCTGATAAGTTAATGTTTGTCTGGACTTTCAAATAAGGGCACTGGAAAAAGAAACACATATAAGTGAAATCAGAGAATGGTTAAGAGATTAAAGTGAGCAGGACTTCACAGTTGCTTGACTATGGGGTGAGGGAGAGAGTAGATCAAGGATGGCACTCAGTCCTCTTGTCTCTGGGTCTGGAAAGATCATTTTGCCTTTTACCAAGAGAGGATTGTAAGAGCAGCCAGGGGAAGAACTGCAGGGGCCCAATTTTAGATGGTGTTGAATTTGGGATGCTTGAGAAGCCTCCAAACAGGGATGTCTATGAGGTGACTGAAATGGAGCTCAAAGAAATACACTGTACTTGAGAGAGGTACATTTAAGGGCCAACAGTCATAGAAGATGAATGAAGCTACATGCTTTAAGAGATTGAACTCAACACACACACACACACACACACACACACACACACACACACACACACACATATAAAGATTAGTCAGCTAAGACTGTAAATAGAAATTGAATTAAATAGGAAAGCAGTAAGCATGTGCTGTCATAGAATTCAAGGATAGAGCATGTTTCCAGAAAGATGTGGTCGGTAGTGCTAAATGCCACTGTGATCACATAGATTGAGGACGGAATGATGACCTTAATGACATGGCAGTTTGGGAGGACCTTGGCAATGAGTCATTTCAGGGGAGCGGTAGGAGTAGAAAAGATTGGGGTTGAGACGTGAGTGGATGTCAGAACGTGGAGGCTGAATGGAGGTAACTTTGCAAATTTCCACTGGAGGGAGACGGGGGAGAGAGGGCAGAGATTGGGAATGAAAGAAGGGCTACAGGATGATTGTAGTAAGAGAAAAACTTAGATGTGTCATGAACTCTGTATACCCATCAGCTCCAAAAAATTCTTCATGAGTATGAGATAGAGTTAACTATATTCATTACTTAAAATTATGTTCTGTCAAAACCCATCTCTCATTTATGTAGTCTTAATCTAACTTTTATGGCAACAGAATGGTTGAAAATCGAAATAGAATATTCTCTGAAAATATAATGAGTAGTCAATTGAAAATTGAATAAAAGTTGAAGGGTGACTTCTCAAGAATGGCTTAAAGCACATTACCTCTTTATGTAGGTCTCTTTGTATAAAACCTGCCATTCTGTTCCGGCATTTTAATGTAATAATTTACACAGGAAAATCGATAGTCAAGCACATCATTTTATAGCACTTATCAAATGCCAGATACTTTCTAGGTGCTTTAGATGTAATAACACATTTAATAATTTAATAATAATATCATATAATAATAATATCATATGATATTCCCTCTAAATACTTATTTAAAAAAAAACAAAAACACCAATCTTATACAAACTCTCCTAGAAAACAGCAAAAAAGTTTACACTCTCCTACACATTTTATGAGGCCAGGATAATCTTCATCCCCAAACCCAACAAGATGATACAAGAATGGAAAATTACTTACCAAAATCCCTTATGAATATAAATGTAAAATTATGAAAGATATATAAGCCTCTACACTGAAGAATATTAATGAAAGGAAGAAGATATACAAATGATGGGGTTCATGGATTAGAAGTTCAATATATTAAGATTTCAG